TGAGGATTTTTACCAAGATATGATTATAAATATCACCAAGAAAAGAGGAAGGAGGAAGATTGCACGGGTCAAGAGACATACAGGAAATAAGTCAGAAAGTCAGCATGGACGTGTAAGGTTAGGTATCATTCTACAAGGCTAAAGAAATACTCACATGGCCCAGTCAAAGGTAAGGTTTCTGTATTTCAAAATTCTCTTTGGACCCCACATGACACAGTAGTGGCACTAATTATCTTGCTATATCCAAGAGGTTCCAACGATAGCAATATTTTCTAAAAAAAATACCTCCTACTCTAATTCCTAAACTCATTGTTTTTATAGATCAGTACAAGCTTTCTCCGAAGTCAACTAGGTTCTATTGCACTGGTACTAATACAAACTATATTAACTAAAAATCTGTTTATCTTAAAATGTAATACATACGCAGAGTTGTGACTTTGCATTTTGTCAGCATACTATCTCAACGTAATAAGTGAGAAACATACTCAAAACAGAAATAAAATTAGACTTTGTAGGGCCTTTGTTCAACTAGAGTCTTGAAGAGATTATTCTCAGAGCTAAATTTCCTAATGTAACAAATTCACACAAATGTCTCTACATTTGAATGTTTTTTATCCTGTGTCACTCAGCCTCCCCTGCCTGCAACCCCTCCCCCTAGACTTTTCAAAATGTATTTCATACACAGAGTCAGTGTTCTGGTTGTTTATTTAATTAACATGACAGCCCAGCATACACAGCATTTCTTTCAGTTCTACAGTTTTAACTTTTTACATTTCAGACTCAATACAGCAAGAGTAAAATGACTGTTTTCACTCCTTCCAACCTCTGTAAATTTATATAGATTCACTAACTATTTCTGTCAGTTAAAGCAGTTTTTCAGTATGCCTTAAATATCCATATTCCCAAAGTAAAATCAAAATTTTTAAAAATCACAGAAAAACAAAACTTTCTTTACCCTCACCTTTCCCAAGGGGATAAGAAAATCCTGTTTCCCTTTTTCAGTATTTTCAGAAGTTGACATTACTTAATTACCTAATTCTGTCAACAAATCCTAAATAATCAATATTTCTCTTTGTATCATTACAAGTAATACTACTGAAATGTGATACAGCATACAGCTAAGTATAAAGTTCATCATTATTTTTAGGAATTTATTCCACTTGAGACATACACATCACATTAAAATGCAGGGATTTAAAGGGCAACTTATATGTATTGAAGAAATATTTCTGTTTTTTATCTTTTAAAAACAAGTTATATTTTTTTATCAATAACAAAGTCCATGACAGGCCTGCCTTCTACTGCCTTCCATCAAAATCCAACCCATTTCTTCTATTTTTATTTTATTGTTTGCCTTTCTGCTTCCTTCTCACATCAGGGATGAAAAACCTGATTCTTCTTCTGATAACCAGCTTAAAATCCACTTACATTCCTGCAACTATACATTTGTATACATGGTAAGAATGTTTGGGACCTTAGGAGGAAAATAGTCAGAGGAAACAATTTTGACTTTTAATGATGTAATATCAAGCATACATCGGAATCATTTTGACTCATATTGTACCTATCACAAAAGAGTTATGTTGCTAAAAGATTTAAACAAATTAATGAAAAAGCCAGATGTCTTGCATTTAGACTATATGCAAAATCTTAAATCCTTAAGATGTAGCTGCAATAAAATTCCAAATGTTTTGGAATCTTTTAAAAATGAACACATAGGATGGTCACAGTAATTAAAGAATAAGTATCCAACTATATTCTTTTATGTGGAAAGACATGTAGACACAAAGAAAGACATAAAAGAACACAGACACCCCACAGATACAGTTTGCAAGTGCTACAAATTGCACAACCAAAATTTTTGTGAGAAACATATTTATTAATGATGCATCATATCTAATAATTTATGAAAGCCTACATCCCTTCGTGTATTCCAGTATTTGCAGAAGTACAGTGGCAACCTGAAAGAAATATAGCTGCTCTCAGATGTGAAAATACACTTAGGAAAGATGGGAAAAAATCTTGGTAGACAGTTGATGTCTTAATACTGCTTGCCTAAATAGCACAGTTAGACACACTCATCCACAAAATCGAACTTCAGGGTAGTGGGCCGGCAAGACTAAAAGAGATGGTATAAACTTCATTCTTTACCAGAGTAAAGGTGTTTTCGCTCGCAGTCACAGACACACGCAGGGCTTAATTTTTGAGATCAAAGATTAGAACTACTTTCTCCTCTCTTTGCTAGAGACGATCTTTATCATTAGTGCTGAAAAACTCAAGTCTATATGTCATAACGCAGCTATAGACTACATTTTTCTAGATGTAAATTTCTAGAAGGAAGGTGTGGGGGAGAAAATGCGTATCAGCTCACTGGTTTGTCTTATCAGAATTTTATCATATATTCTCTTTGCCAATTTAGAACTAAGGGCCACTGAAGAGAATGAACCCATAAGTACAGACCCACTGTCATCCATATGGAGAAGAAAATGCTGAACTTCTCTCACCTTTAAACTTCACAAAGGACAGCATCCAAAAAAATTCTCAAGCGGTGTCTGTGCTTTCTATCCATGCAGTACAGTTTAAAATTAACTTGTTGCCTCTGAGCACTGCCTTAAGTTGAGAGCGGACACCCCTTCAGAAAAGAACCAATCTGGTGGAATTCATGGGAGTGTTAAACGTTCCTTTTACAATTATTTTGAGTCTTCATAAAATATGCAAATGACAGTGGTACACTTTGCACCCTTAATCAGAAGTTTGTTTCCTTATGATAAAACAGATAAGCCATTTACTATATAGTGCCTGAACTTTTCACACAGTTAGGCCAACGCATGAGATATTGCCCTATCTTATAAGGTACTATCCCATGTTAGTCGCCACCCACTCTCCCCAGTTCAGCTCAGCAAAACTTTAATGGGTCAAATATAAAAACTAATCTTCAGTAGCACACACATACCCACGTCTTTAAATTTCTGCTAAATGTAATCCTGTCTTTCCATCTACCATAAGAGACAGTATCTAGTTTTAGGGCATTACTCATAAACACACAGCTTTAAAAAAAAGGTAACCCCACGTAAATGATTGGAATAGATTACACATAGGAATTCTTCAGCTGCATTAATCAGCAAAACATTTTAAATAGCTATGCTCACTTATGTTCTTATATATTTGCAGATTTTTTTAATTATTCATGTACTAATTTAAACCAGAGAAAACCAATAAAACCTTGTGGGTTATTTAACACGGCTGGTTAATTCACCTAACTACCACCTTATCTTAAATGCATTCTGAACTCTCTCAAATGTTAATATGAAATTTTAGAATGTAATTTCAGAGCTAACTGATATTAATTTGGAGTCAATTAATTTATGATTAAACCCAGATTTTTCTTAGAAATTAGGGCTCAATGTTTGCCTGGACCGCATCACATTTCGCTATAAGTTCAAGAGCTGTACACATTTAAACCAGTGGTTTAATTTTTGTTTAAAAGACATTTTCTTCCGTAGCCCCAGAAAGAAATTACACTTTTCCTCCTACTTAGCCTACCCTGAAGTAGATAACTTTTGTCTAACAATCTCTACACTGCTACCACAACTAAGTATCAGTCAGTGGTCTGCTTTTTCTTTACTCTTGAAGTTTAAGCTCAAGAAATTTGTTTTATCTAAACAAGAAACTAAATAAGTACATTTCTTTTAAAATAAGCACAGAGATTATAATGTTGACATCCTCTCTGCTAAATAATGTCAAACAATCACATCTCTGTAATCAACTCTATTTCAGAAACAAACAAGGCACCCACACCATATGGTGCCTGCTATTTCTTGGAAGTACCTACAAGATTGTCCAGAAAATAACCCAAAAAGAAAGGGCTTTCCATCCCATAGAATATTCTTTCACACACTCAATGTGTCCTAATGGTGCCGCCGAGGGGCATGAATTTAAATGGGGAAAGTGTAAATTTCCACTTGCTGAACATAACCAGCTTTTCACCCTTCTTTCATCAAGCGTCAAAACTTCAAGGAGATAGCTGAAGAAGAAGTGTGCTTTTCCAGGTACGGTTAATGTTCGAAATTGCAGTTGGTTGTTTCATGCCATTTGTAGTAACTATGCCATGGTTCTAAAAATCTAACGATAATTAGGAGACGCCTCGCCAAAACTGATCAAACGTTTTCCAGTTTCACTCACAATTATAGAGCCCTCCACCTCTCTTTTCTGAAAGACAGCACTTAGAACTAGCCTCTTGCACGTTTCCTGTAAAACCTGAATAAAGCCTTTGGAATTTGTAACTATCCACTTAATTTGGTAAATGCTCACGAGAAAGGTTATTTTTCAGTGGACAATAATAGCATAGTTTACTTTCTTGAGCCATTCTACAGGTCAGACACACGAGGCCCAAATTTGACATTTATGTGCAAAATACCAAACACTGCCCATTCAATGGTGCGTGTAACCTAATTATATTTAAAAACCAATAGATACCAGCGTTATTTCACATCTCCTAGCTAAACTTCCTGCAAAACCAGAAAGTGTATCAATGCCTTATCTCCAAGCATGCTTTGCTTACGTGCATTCTCTGTCTAGTGGTTGTGACAAATGTTTGCCTGCTACTTTATAAGAAAGAAAATTTATTTTTAAAAATAGGAGAAAATCTGCACTGGGGCAAAAAGGCTCATTGCCTAAAAGCTCAGCCTAATTCTACCTTCTACTAAGGCAGGAAGGCCTGAGAGTACTTAAAGGGCAGAGAAGCCACACACCAGGTGTAGCAGATCTGAGAAAAGTTGGCCTGGCAGAAGCAGCCCAATGCCTCTGAGTTGTGTTCCTTCTTCGCCTGTCTGTCCTTCAGGTTACAAAATACTCTGCGAAAGGCACACATTAAAAATGCTAGTTTCTTCCAAAGTCTAAAGTTCTACCACGTTTCCTAGATGATCCTCCAGGAGTTGTCAACACTTTGCGCCGCTTCCCAAGTTTCCCGAATCGGCCCGAAAGTGGGGCGCCGCGCTTACCTGCTCTCGGGGGATGCAGGGCAGGGAGGTCCTGCGGTGGGACTTGCTGCCGCAGCCCGACATCGCGGCAGACACCACGGAGCTGGACCGCCGCCTCCTCCTGAGCACCGGGATCTCTTCCTTGGTCCCAGCAGTGCGCTGGGACCCCAGAGGCTCCCTCGGAGCCGCCACTGGAGACTGCGGCAAGATCTGCTCCACGTACCTGGCCAGGAGGATCCCCAGCACACCGGCCAAGTACGCCAGGTAAGGTCTCCAGGCCACCTGGAACCTCTCCAAGGAAACGAGGGCCACGGTCCGCACCGCGCTAGTCAAGGCAAGCATGAGGACGCCCGGCCGCAGCCGCAGCCTCAGCACCAGCCATGTCGCGGCGGCCAGGCAGCTGAGCACCACCCCCGCGGCGGGCAGCGACAGCAGGCGGTCCTCCCCGACGCCCAGCCCGAGCTGGACGAGCGCTTCCCCCCCGCAGCAGGCGGCCAGCAGCGTAGCGGCCAGAGGCAGGCGCACCCCGGCGCGCCGGAGGTACAAGCCCATCCAGAAGAAGGCACCCAGGACACTGAGGAGCAGCGCCCAGGGCTGCAGCCAGGGGCTGAGCCGCGCGCCGCCCCCGGGCGCGCCTCCCTGCACGCCGGGGAAGACGCCCCCTTCTGCTCCCGGGACCGCTTCCTCCTCCACCTCCTCCTCCTCCTCCTCCTTCTCCTCCTCCTTCTTCTCCTCCTCCGCCTCCTCCTGCGCTGCCACCGCCTCCTGACTGCGAGGCCCCAGCTCTCGGCCGTTCTCGGCGCGGACCGGCCGCACCAGCACCGCCAGCAGCAAGGACAGCGAGCCGGCGCACAGCGCCCAGAAAAGTTTCCGCGAGCGCCGGAGCGGCAGCAGCACCGGGACTACCCGCGGCCAAGTGGGGTGCGCACGACTCACCCCTCCGCGGTCCTCCTCGTCCCCACCTCGCACAGCCTCGGCCGGCACTTCCATGGTGCGACCTCCACGCCGTATCCCCCCTGGGGGGCGCCCCGAGCCACGCTCGCGCTCACGCTCTTCCCAGTTCCCCCCAGTTCCCTTCACCCCAGGCCCACCGGTCTCTGAAAAGTTTCCGCTTTCGAGTAACTCTGGGAGCAAAGCTAGATGCTCCAGAGAGGCTTCGAGTGGAAAGCTGGCATATTGGACTTATCTTCTTTGAATAGCTTTGAGAATCCTCTGCTCCCCTTCCACCTCCACCCCGGCTTCTATTCTCGGGGGTCTCTTCCTACTTCAGGATTTTAAACGCTATCTCCTGCGCGCGCGCCGGGGGGACACGGACGCTGCGGGAGCTGGGGGCGCGGGGCGCGGGCGCGTTCGGGGCCATTGCGCGCGCCAGGCCGGAGGCAGATGGAGGGAGGCTCCCTTCTCTTCCTGCAGCTCTTTCTCTATCACTCTCTCTTTCTCCGAGGCGGATCCTCCTCGGAACAGCCCTAGGACGCGAATCGCAGTGCCCCGGGGCTGCAAGAGCCTCCCGCTTGGGTGTTGGTCCAGTTCATGGCACAGGGGGATCAAAATGCAAAAGCGCTGAGAAATAAGTTCATGCGTCCCGGCGGAGAGGAGCGGCTGCGGCGGGAGAACGAGGGAGAGAAGGCGAGCGAGCTGGGAAGGAAGGGCGAAAGGAAAGGGAGGGTGAGAAGAGAATGAGATTTGCACGCGCGCGTACACACACACACACGCACACACATATATTCTTCTACGTGCAAAGTTAGTAGTGATTTGCAGTTCTGCAAAGGGAAATACGAGTAAAGACAACTGCTTAAAACTGTATAAACCAGGCAACTGGAGTGGTCATCAATTCTGCTTGCTTGCTTGCTTTAAGGCAACTCCCTAGCAAAGCTTGCTGAGCCGAGCTCCCGCCCCTCCCCCGGAGGAGGCGCTGCTTGCTGTTTGGCTGAGCCCGGCCCACACTGTCTGGCGCTCGCTCCCCCGGGGCCACCGCTAGTCCGCCGCACGGCTCCTTCACCGCAGCCCGGAGCGTGGGGGCCTGCGGCTGGCACTGAGCCCCAGCTTTCTAGGACGCCGCGGGGGTGAGGGTTCTGGGCCTCTCCGTAAGCCATCTAAAGTACTTGCCACTGTCTTTGAAAATCACATCCACATCTAGTATCTGCGTGACTTAAAAGATGCTCCGAAGTTCTCCAGTCAAGACCCACAGCAAACCCATTTCAGACAGCTTTGTATGGCTCAGGCTAGAAGATCTTTGCAATGGAGAACCCAAGCATGTCCCGCTGGATTAAAGGAAGAAAAAAATCTCAGAGTTACCTAGACCACAGTATACTCAAAGAGGGGTGCGGGGCATAGGTTATTGGGGTGTTTTTGTTTTTTAAAGGTCTCACTTCAAAAAAAAATCTAGAATATGGGTATCAATCAGCAATTTTGACTGTGGATGGTAAAAGCCCCTCCTAGGGAACCATAGTCTCAGGAAGACATATAGGCCCAGACAATAAAATACAACACTTACAATGAAGAAAGTTTTTTT